TTTGTTGGCTTTTTTAAAAAAAATTGCATTTATACTAATATATATTGTTTTAATTTTCTACCGTCACTCAGATATTCAACACACTCGATTCAAGGCTGTTCAAGAAAGTAGAAAATAACAACAACCACGTCATCCATCCTCTACTACCACCAATCAAAACTACAACACACAACCTTCGTCAGTACAAACATAACTATCAAGTCGTCTCCCAATCTACATACCAGGAAAAGACCTTCATCACAAGGCACCTCAAACATATTAGCACTTAATAAAACTTTATCATTACAGAACTAGTTTTTATTTATTGATCACCTTACTAACTCACCAACTAACTCACCATCAAATATATTAATTCCCATTAAAAGTTTATCACTCACAGATCTAGCTTTTATTCATCGATCACCTCACAGATCAAGCTTTTATTTATCGATCACCTCACTAACTCACTAAGTCATCATTTAGTCTATTAATAAGTCATCAAACATATTAATACTCACTAATCTTTATTTATCGATCACCTCACTAATTCACTAAGTCATCATCTAGTCTATCAATTTGCCGTTACGACATTTTATATTCCATCGTCAATTACTTTTTCTTTTAATTTTCTTCTTATTATTATTTATTTTATTCTAACATATTTTATTTTTCATGTTTTATCATTTTTCTTCCTCACTTTTTGTATTTATTTTCTCACTTATTTGTTTAATTTTGTTCTACTGCCTTGCATGTTGTTACAGTTTCTGCGTCTGTCAGATCCTGATTTTTAAAGAATAATAAAAAAAAAATTTCACACGTAGTGGTAGTTGATAACTCAACTTCATTCATTGTTTCTTTTTCCCAAGGTGATATAGAAACTACATCACATAACGGACCGAATTCACGAGATCCAAATGTTTATGTTTCGGCAGTAAATACCGTCAGTGAAACGGGACGTTCAATCCAGGACGTTGCTCGTCAATAGTTTTATTTTTATGATGCTGCGTCACCATCAGAGTTTGTCAAATGGAGGCATTAGTCCATTGTTAACAGCTCAGCGTAATCGACAAATTTTTACTGTTAATTTGGAACAAGAAATAGCGAAAGAGTAGGCCTGCTATTTCAAATCAGTTAAACCTGAAAACAAAAAACGAAACTAAGTATTCATTTGTCATAACTATGGCTATGGTGAATATTCAATAATAACGGTTTCTTTTTTATTGTAAAGACATTTGATGCTTGTAACATTCAACCCAACCTGTGTATCAATCAACTTCGGTACTGGGATTTGTTTATTAGATTCGTTTGTTACATTTTGAAACCGCAAATTTTTTAATGTTAAATAAAAAAAATTATAAATGTTTTAGTAAGTAGATGATTAAGTCATATCACACACACTCAAATACATTTATTTATGTATACATATATAAAGTATTGTTTAAATTCTACCGAATTGTTGGCATTAATCAATTTAAAGTTTGTTTTTTCAATTTTCTTTCTTAGAATTTTCTGGAAATCGTTCAATTTATTAAAAATAGAATTATCCAAGTTGATCATAAAAATTTAATAAAACTGTTCTTATCAAAATTCATCATGAAGATAAGGCCTTATTTCGATTTTTTATAAATCATTTTCAGTGCAGGTTGGTTTATATAGTTTCTTTAAACAGAACAAAGTTTTTTAAACAGAGCATAGTTCGTTAACAAAGTTAAATTAAGTTTAAAACAAACTTTAAATTGATTAATACCAACAATTCGGTAGAAATCATACAATACTGTATAAAATATGGTCTCCTTCCAACATTTATATATATATATATATATATATATATATATATATATATATATATATATATATATATATATATATATACTGTTATCAAGTGGTTCAGATCATATCTGTTTGACAGAAAGCAACAAGTAGTTTTCAATAATGTGTTATCTAATGAAACGGTTTTGACATCAGGAGTGCCACAAGGTTCAGTGCTTGGGCCTATTCTTTTTATCATGTATACCGCCGAAGTTTTTAAAAAAATTGATAATTTCGGTTTTAAATATCATGCCTATGCTGATGATATTCAGATTATAGTTAGTAATAAGCCAGAATTACTGCAATATGAAATCAACGAACTTGTAACTTGCCTAAATAACATTGATAATTGGATGTCAAACAATGGTCTTAGATTAAATCAGCAGAAGTCAAAATTTGTTCCAATAGGTACATGGCAGCAGCTGATGAAACTTAATATCGATCCAGTGAAAATAAGAGATGTTAAATAGAATTTAGTGAAAAAGCAACTAATCTGGGTTTCATTCTTGATTCTAGATTATCGATGCATGATCATATAAAGATGATAACAAATTCATGCTCCGAACAGATTCGAGAACTCTATAAACTCCGTAAGTCATTAGATAAATCTTCTATTCATACTTTGGTGCATGCATTTGTTCATTAACGATTGGACTATTGCAATGGCCTGTTTTACGGTTTGCCAGATAGGTCTGTTTCTGCAATTCAATCCATTCAGAATAGAGCAGCCAAATTGATTGTAGGAGGTCTCAAATTTAACCATGTTACTCCAATTGTTAAGAGCCTTCATTGGCTTACTATAAAGAAAAAAATTAAATATAAAATATGCATTTTAATGTATAAAGCCGTACATGGCTTGTTACCAAGTTATTTGATAGATAAAAAAAAGAGAAGTCTATAATGATGAGTGGTATGAACCTTAGATCAGATGATGGCATTTTACTGGTTGTACCTGATGTCAATCTGCAGATAGCTTTGGAACAGCTTACCGAGATCTTTTAAAACTAAAGATTTGAAACTTGACGATTTTAAAAAAACTTAAAACTTACTTATTTTCGCTTTGATTTTGTTGTTAAGTGAATAATTATTTGTTTGTTACTACCGCCATTGACTGTAGTTTTTTCTTTTTTGACTTTGTTTGACTATAGATAGTGCTTTTGAAAACTTTTTGATTTTAATTAGCGCTTATAAATGTTTCATTAATAATTAACAATATATATATATATATATATATATATATATATATATATATATTAAACAACAATGCACGAAATGGGAAAATGCACGAAATGGGAAAAAGTTTTGTTTTATATGGTATTTTAGAGGATGAAATTGTCTATTAGAATATACAAGTATTTTTGAAATGCACACATAAATGGATTTTTGGCGATTTTTTAACTTTCTCGTTACCGTTGATATATTAATATATAACGATTTGATGATGGAGTTTTTATATTGTTTTATACAATTTTTAATCTAAATACAGTTAAGATGTTATAAATAACAAATAAGGAACAATAATAATTATTTTTTCATTTCATGAAACCTTTATTTATTTTTTATTTAATCGGTTTTTTCATAATCTGCCATTTATATATGCTTCACCGTCGCTGAGTTCGAGCCGTCGCGAACATTACCTTCGTACACTATAACAGCAAATGCATTTTGTCAAAAAGACGGATTTGTATATTTTTTAAACATATTTTTCAAACATAAGTATAGCTTGGCAAACGTTTGACTGGTTTACCATGTTAATATTCACTGATTCAATTTCAATTAATAAAATGTAGTAGTTGAACATCTGATCATTTCCGATAGCGGATAGATAGGTCAGTACGCAGCGCAGCGGTATTTTATTAATGTATTAAGTCACCTTCACCGGGAACATAGCCTTATGCAAAAAACGAAAAAAATACGCTCACCTTCTGATGTCAAACTGCATTGTGTTATTAAACTTGTTAATTTATTACAAACGTTATTAAAGTAACGAACAACAGGTAACCATTTTTTTATTTATATACGAGAAGGATTTCAGCACCATGAAAAACTTAACCTATAAATTATGCAAAAAAGATAATGAAAAAAGGGAGAGTGCAAAATTAGGGAAAAAAAACAATTCTAAAAATTATCCAGTGAAGTAAAAATTCACTTTAGGGTAGGGCCAGCCAAGACGATGAGCTTTTTAATTTTAACGACTTTTAAAAAAAAAGGGGAAACCATACATTGAACATCCTGCTTTAACAAAAATAAAAAATTTAGAAATAAATATTAGTTATTTTTCTAGATAAATAAAAAAATTCAAGAGTCTGTAAATTTTTTCTCTTGCACGACTATAGCTTTTCGAAATACAAGAGTACGCAATTTTAAAATCCATGTTAATTACATATGTCACGTTTAAAATGTCTCTAAATCCTAGATAAGATGTATATTTTTTGTGCATCTGTTCACAACAAAGTTCACATTGAATCCAATCCTCTGTTATTGACTAACACCTACACCAACGATTCTTCTTATTTGATAAACCTAGACTAATTTTTAGCTTTTTTTAGCGTTCTTTTTGTCTTTTGTGGAGCTCTGTTTCAAATATGCTTAAGTTGTGAACTGCTCACTATTTCAGATTGCTTCGTACACTATAATAGTGTACGAAGCAATCGTGGTTTGAAGAGTTGAAACTAAACTAACAAGACAACAATAAGCGTAATGCACGTATAGGGCTCCCATATGTCCTTTTTTAAGAGGACAGTCCTTTTTTTGCATTGGTGTCTTTTTTAAAATCTGTTCTTCAATTTCTTTAATTTTGTCTTTTTTTTTAAATGTGTCCTTTTTTTGTCCTTTTTTTTCATTATTAAGTCTGAAAATATCAATACAACATCACATCATAAATATAAATCAATAATCATAATGCTTAAAATAATTAAAAAAAATAAAATAATTATTTATACATCATAAATCATAATGCTGCTCTTAATAATTGTTTCCAGGTATATAACGCTTATGTTCTGTCCAATCTATAGATTAAAATTCCATGGTTCGAAATAACTTCTATAACAATACTATTTATGATTTCATGTCCATCTAACTTCACTGTGCGTGGAGCGCGTTCTCTTCTTCGCGTGACGTTTATATTATACAGCCACTTTTTTTAATCTAAATTTTTTTAATTTAATCAAATAAATTAATAAATAAAACTAATTTAAATTATAAAATTAACGATGTCAAAAAGAAAAAGCGTTTATCGTGAACAGTTTCAACTGACTTTCCAGGGATTAAAAAAGTAAAAAAGGTGAAAATTATGCCTTTTGCGAATATTGTTCAACTGATGTTAGTATTGCGAACGCAGGCGTTTCATCTATTAAACAACATTTTGAAAAAGAAGTTCACAAAAACAACGTAAAAATTAAAAAGTCTACTGTCGGAATATCAACATTTTTTCATAGTAATAATTTGCCCACATCTAGAAAAACTGCTGCAGCAGAAGGAGCATTTGCATATCATGTCGCTTTTCACTCGTTATCGTTTAAAGCTGCAGATTGTACAAATCGTTTAATTTCAACTGTTTTCGCTGAATCGGAAACTGGTCGGAAATTTTCATCTGCTCAAACAAAAACGCAGGCAATCATTTCAAGAATATTGGCTCCGAAATCAATTGAGAATCTTTTATCTGAATTGGGCAGCGAGCCGTTTTCTATTGCAACCGACTCGTCAAATTTTAAAGAAATCAAAACATTCCCTATCATTATTCGGTATTTTTCGCATGAAGGATTGAAAGTTAAATTGTTAGAGTTTTCAAATTTGCCAGGAGAAACGTCAGAATTGATTTTCAAATATGTAATGACTGTACTTGACAGATTCAAATTGAGCCCTAATAATTTGGTAGCGTTCAGTGCTGACAACGCTAATGTAAACTTTGGTGGAGCAAAACAGAATGGCCAAAATAACGTTTTTGCCAAATTGAAAAACATTCAATCAAAACTGATTGCTGTAGCCTGTCCAGCTCACATTCTCCATAATGCAGCTAAAAAATCCTGTGAAAGGTTTTCACTTGACATTGAATCGTTGCTGTTCAAAATCTTAAGCTATTTCAATGGATCCACGCTGCGACATGAAAAATTTAAAGAATTTTGTGAATTTATGGAAATTCAATATGCTAAATTTCCAACTCATACTCGCACACGATGGTTAAGCCATCTTCCATTGATTGAACGAATTTTACAGTTATGGGGTGGCTTAAAATCACTAGTTCTATCAACGGATGACATTCCAAAGGTTCTGGAAAATTTATTCTCTGATGATTCAAATGAAATCTACTTCTGGTTTCTACAGAGCTCATTGCAGCTGTTTCGGCAAACTTTGCTGATACTTGAAAAAAAAAGACTTGTGCTTCCTGAAATGATAGAATCTGTCGAAAATCTGTCACAAAAACTCACTGACAGGATGCAGAAAAATTTTGTTGGTGCCATGACTCAATCAAAGTTGCAATCATTAGAGGATTCTAATTTGGCTAATCGCATAGAAAAGGAGTTTTCAACATTTTATTCGACATCTGTTGATTACATTCAGAAGTGGTTCAGAATTACTGATTATCCGTCTTCTTCTAAGTGGTTAATGCTGAAATCTGTCGATACAATTTTGTATGAGGATATTCGAAAATCTGCAGAGTTTCTAATGCCAGAAATTTCTGTGAAAGATTCTCTGTTTGATGAAACGAGTCTTCTAATTTCACTGTTGAAAGATTCAAAAGAAAGTTTCCACGAATTGCCCATTGATATAAAATGGACTATTCTGTTTTAAAACGAACTGTTTTCAGATTTGAAGAAATTGGTATACACAATTTTTGCCATTCCTACCTCGAATGCTGCTGTTGAGCGAATTTTTTCATTATGTAAAAAACAATGGACTGATGATAGAAACTGCCTAAAAATTGATACTGTTAAAAGTTTACTACAGGTAAAGTTTAATTATTTTTTAACATGCTCTGAAATGTACACTTACTTGTTAAAAAACGATGACTTAATTAAGCAAATACAATTAAAGGATAAGTATGTTGGTTGATTTCAGTAGTATGCCGGAGATCAGAGACTTATACAAAAAATTGAGAAACTGTCGTATAGATTGAGTACTACAAGGAAGGAACGCTAGTATTTTTATTATATATATATATATATATATATTTTTTGTTGAAATCGATCGCTACTAAAATTGTATGTCAATCCAAATAAGGATTGCCCATGTTCACATTTAGTTGATAAGGTGATGACTCTAATTGCTCTTTTCATGAGTTTTTTGACTGAGCTGGTGACTGAGGGGTATGCACCTGACCACACTACATTACAGTAAGTTACCTGAGGCATACACAAGGCATTGTATAGCATATTCAAGCATCTCCTCGGCAAGAAAAACTTTATTTTGTTTATTATACAAATAGATTTGGCTAGTTTTGAGCAGATGTTGTCTATGTGTGACCGAAAGGATAATTTCTGATCCAAAAAGACTCCCANAAACTTGACTACTTTACTTTCAATGATGTCACAACCATTTATTACAATTTTGAAAGGTTCTTTATAATTTAAAAAATTTACTG